GTGTCTGTGTGCAGATGATCCCAGCTTTGGAGGCCGAGTGTGTGCAGGAAGCCCGGGACAGGAGTGTGACTCTGCCGGCTGATTGGTCAGTTAAAGGCCTGCTAGACAAACTCACAGAGGCAATGATGGACGTCCAAGCAGCTGTGCTGAAGACAGCTGCTGGCCTGCGACGCAGCGGTACACACAACACTCTTTAAAGAAGCAAACTTACAGAGGAGTTGGAGCCAGAGGAGTTGAAAGAAAGCAGGTTTAAGCCACGTCCACATTGGCTTCCTCTGCATAAAGAAATAAGTAGAAAAAAATTCAGATCTGGTTGAAAAACCTTGTTTAATTTCTCTCACTGCAAAATATTTCTGTTCTGAATTCCTGTGTCCCTCATCTTTGAAGGAGACAGTCTACTTCACCTTTATTTCAGCACGATATCTGCGTAAAGTGAACATTGTCACTGTCACCGCTACCTGCTTGTTTAAATGCATTGTGGGGAAAAAGTAGGTCACTACCAATGATGTCTAATCTTTGCGTCAACCTCTGATCTAAAGGGTTACTGACAGCTGTGCTGGCCAATCACTGGGTAGATGACAGAGCGGCTGGAGATGGCACAGGTCGCCTTCTCTCTCTGCTGGGAGGCCATTTTGACCTGGTCCTCCAGTCCTGCCACTTGGGTCACAGGGTCCCTGAGCCCGCCATGTTCAGCTCTGCCCTGCAGCGCCTGGGGGTGACACCCAAACAGGTAGAGGGTTTCGTGATGTAGACAATAAATATGCAGCATCACTGAGATTAAATTCTTGTATATCAGATGTTATGAGTCATCTGTCTCTATTCAGGCGTTGTGGCTGGATGCTGATGTTGAGGGTGTAAAAGCCGCAGAGGGAGCAGGGATGAAGGCCGTCTTGGTGGAAAATCTGGATGCTGCTCTGGAGAAACTGTCTGAATTTACTGGCTTTCAGGTTTGTGTCACTCTGAGTATCTTCTCTGATGCAGTGGGTTTAAAGACCCTCACATTTAGATCTAACTACAACAAAGAAAATGATTACATTAATAACATTTGTATACGTTTGAATCTCCAGGCTGTTGGAACAGTGAGCCCCCCACCAGCCTGCAGCCCTGATGAAGTGTCCCACGGCTACATCACCATAAAAGTATTAATATCTATCAGTGCCAGCAACCTGTTGAATTATGAAAACACAACACAGAGCTGAAATGCTGCTGGCTGTCTTTTCCAGCCTGGTGTGAGGACTCATTATGTGGAAATGGGCTCCGGTCCACCGGTGCTACTGTGTCACGGTTTCCCGGAGAGCTGGTACTCCTGGAGGTACCAGGTAACCTGTTTCCATTGGATATGTTGGAACGCACGAAATAGTCACCTTCCAAAGTGTATTCAGAGGGTGTTTGAGATGAGATACACTAAGAGTCAGAGATATCCCTTCTTATATTTATAGTTTGTCTTGTTTTCCATTTAATTCAAGTCTTTGTTCTGATTTATTTAAGTTTGCAGTTATATTTACTTGTTGTTGGTGGTGTTTTGGTTCTTTTAATCCTGCAATAATCCTGAAATAAAAGCCATGATCATTAAACAACCCTCTCACCCCTGTGCTAGATCCCAGCCTTGGCTGCAGCAGGATTCAGGGTTTTAGCTCTGGACATGAAAGGATATGGAGAGTCCACAGCGCCCCCTGGTAGGTTGAAATACTGAAAGACTGAAAATATAGACTGTACTTAAAAGATGTATGTAGCTTCCCAGTATAAATTCTTTATAATGAACAGCAGGGATATGTCACTTCCCCTAGCCCTTAATGCCCAGGATCAAAAGACCTAAAATGCTCAGCTTGAGGCTTAACTACCACACTTTTACCAGTGTGTGACATCAGAGAAGCTACAACCATCCTTTATATACAGTCTTTGTGTGGAGTCAGCTCAGTGTTGGTGTAATTCCTGCCGTATTGACTCTCACAGACATAGAGGAATATTCTCACGAGGAGCTTTGTAAGGTACACATTACAAAAATATTAAATCTACAGATTTAGTGTTGTTTTAAAATGTTTTTCTGAATCATATTTTTCTCTCTTTTTTCAGGAGTTAGTCGTATTTTTGGATAAAATGGTGAGTATCAACACTGTCATTGAATAGCATGATAACTTAAAGTTTACACAAAAGCTTATGGTCCCCTGTTCCAGTCCATACCACAGGTCACCCTGGTGGGTCACGACTGGGGCGGCTCCCTGGTGTGGGCCATGGCCCGCTTCTATCCCGAGAGAATCAGGTAAACACACACACAGACACACACAGTCCCCCAGAGCCTGTACAGTGAAGTTAAAGTGCTTTTCCATGTGCGTGAAGGGCTGTGGCATCGTTGAACACCCCAATGTTCAAGTTGAATCCTTTGGTTCCTGCTTTCGAGAGACTGAAGGCTATTCCAATATTCGACTATCAGGTCTACTTCCAAACACCAGTAAGTGTTATTTATATATATATATATATAAATATATATATATATATATATATATATATTAATGTTTGTTTCTGTCACAGAAAAACTGCAGCTTCATAAGCGGGGTTTGTGTTTCAGGGTGTGGCGGAGGCCGAGCTGGAGAAGGATTTGGAGAGGACGTTCAAGATTTTCTTTTCCAGCAGTAGTGAAGCGGTGCGTGGATCGAATGTACACACACACCCAGCATTGCAGTGTGCAGTTTCAGAGCTAAACAGGTGGAAAAATCACCCACACGTGATGAATGTTTTTCTCTGTACCACAGAAGGGTCGTCCCCCTCTCAGCACCGCAGGAGTGTGCGCTCGAGGTGACGTTTCCTGCTGGTTATCAGTGTTTGCTGTGAATGCTGAAGATTTTTAAATCTTCATTCACAGATCTCATGCTGTGTGTGTGCGCTTTATCACAGGTGGCCTGTTTGTGGGTCTGCCGGAGCAGATTCCCAGGAGCTCCATGCTGACAGAAGCCGACCTGCAGTACTACGCCAGCCAGTACAAAGAAAGAGGCTTCAGGTTGCAGATTTTCCAGCTTCCTGTAGATTGTGTTTCTGTGTGCTCAGCCAACAAATAATATTTATGTTTATTACATGAAAGCATCCACTGTGATGGGTGATTCTTACACAGCTTTTTGTTAAAATTAGCATTTTAATTACATCCTGCAGTTCCTGCTTTTATGTTTGTGGCACTAAAATGAGTATTTTGCAAATTGTAGACTGCTGAAGAGGTGAAGAAATTTGATGTCATAAGCAAATATTCCTGAACAGTCAGTTAAATTATCCAGTTCTGTGGAGAATCACTGAGTAACCTTTGGGCTTTATTTTACAGGGGGCCCTTGAACTGGTATCGAAATAGTGATGCAAACTGGAAGTGGATGTGTTCCCGGCCCTTTGAGAAGGTTTGGTGCAGTGTCACAAACGTAATACAGGCTGTAAATTAAAGCTGTAACTTTGGGGTCCCAATATTGAAACAAATGCAAAATTGCTTTAAACCTGCATTCTGACCAGCAGGAGGCACCTCTGGAATCATAATCATAATCAGATCAGATCAGAATCAGAATACTTTATTGATATAATGAAGGATAAATCAGACTTGTTGACTTGGCAGTCACATCTTGTTATCAAGCTTTCTGATTCACAGTCAGATGTTTGCGTGTTTTAGCTGCTAATGCCAACAATGATGCTGACGGCGGGTAAAGACCCCGTACTGCTGCCGTCCTTTACCAAGGGCATGGAGGACTCGGTAAGAAACAAAAGCATTGACACAGTCATATGAGCAATCAATGGTTATTGGAAGTTAATCTGATATTTGTTATTTATTAACTGAAGATGCCAAACCTGACCAGGGGACACATCGAAGAGTGTGGACACTGGACACAGATGGAAAAGCCGGCAGAGACCAACAAAATCCTGATATCCTGGCTTAAAGAGGCGCACAAGAAGACTGAAGGTGGTACTGTGGCTCCCAAACTGTGAGGAAGGAAGGAAGGAAGGAAGGAAGGATTCTAACAAGATTTTCAATGTGGCACATAAAAGTTTATTTAGAACAACTTAGACACTCACAGGCAGTTTTAACAGTGAATGAGCCTCCCATGAAAAATGTATTCAGACAGAAACTGATGTGCAACCAACAGGGAGGAAAATGTTCTGCTAAAACAGGGAAAAACTGTACTACAAGTAACAAAAATAAGAAATATCACAGTTCAAGATAAAGATTATATTTTAACAAAATGTATAAAATCTCATCATTTTAATGAAACAGCATGAACATTTTCTCTTTATTTTGGAGAACGAAAGTGCCATTATTAAACACTTCTAAGGTCATCTTAACATCCTAATGTATCTGTTTTATGGTTGCTGTTTTTTTTTGCTTTGTTTTCAGTTTGGTAATTGCTTTTTTTTCTTGCACAAGTACTTCTTTTTTTTCCTGTAAATGAAATTGAGATTTTAAAAATCAGTGCATATACATGAACACATTTAACAAATAATATAATATTAGTAAAAAAAATTGCAAATACAAATAATGATAATTATTCAGGAAATCAAGAACAAAACTAATGGGTGGGGGGAGGGGTTTAGAAAGGAAATGAATGAGGGACATAAGGATAATGGAAAGGAGGTGAATAAGGAAGTAAGGAGGTAATACGAAGGAAAGGGAGGAATTAAGGGATGGGATAAATGAAGAAATGATGGCAGGAAGGAAGGGGTAGGGGAAGAATAAGGAAACAGGAAGGAAGAAATGTAAAGAAATAGAAGTGAGGATATGATAACAAGGAAAGGTGGTGGGAAAGTAAGTAAATAAGAAGGGAAGGAATGATGACAGAAAAAAGGGAGAATGCGAGAAATAAGGAGAAGTAGAATGGAAGAAAGGGTGACACAAGATAGAGAAGGGGGGGAGGTGTAAAAAGGGACTAAGGTAAGGGTAGGAACTGAGGAGAAGGATTCTTTTTAAACTTCCTCCAAACTTAATGCAGCTGATTCAGAGAAGAACAGCACCCCCTGGTGGTGAAGATGAGCGCACACCTGGTTTACAGCTGTTTCTCCTTGAACAGTTTCTTCCAGGCTGGCATGATATACTCGTAGATCTCATCAATCTGCAACACGCACACACAAACACACCAGCTTTAAGCATGCTTCACAGCAAATAAACAGAAGGTGGCGCTCTTCCCTTGGCTCACCTGTTCAGACTTCTTCACTCCGTATCTAAAAAGTGTCGCCTGATGCTCGCTGTTGTGAAACAGGATGTCAAAGGTCACCTCGCGGCCCATCATGTCCTCGATGGCAGGCTTCACCACACCGTGGAAGTCCCGCGGAGGGTGCGTGTCATCCAGCATGTTGTTGACCTGTTTTAAAACACACTTGAAGTCGCTGTCTTTAACGAACTCATCATGTATGTTCAAACCACTCATGCTACCTTGTATTTCTTCCCCAAAAGCTCCAGAGGGTCCAGTTTGACCTCTGACCTGAGAGCTCGGCCGTACAGCAGCAGTTTGGTGTCTGAATCTGACAGACAAAGACAAGAAATCAAATTATTTTAAGAGGCAGATTTCCAGAGGAAGGATCAAGAAAAATAAAGTTTATCTGTCATATTATGATCTTTGTTACATGAGCTGATAGGAAACCTTTTTTTTTCTGTGTTATATAGAAAACTGAGCAGATTCTTGTAGGTGTACATGTCGTCCATCTCTTCTCAGTAGATATCATCACATACAAAGCATAAATCCTGCGTTCTCACATCATGTCCATCTTTCAAAGATGAAAAATTTCTTATAGACAGTTTTACATTTTTGCAGAATTTGAGACTAACATAATAACCTCTTGCTGATTTTCATTGTTTAACACTCTTTTCTATAAAATAATTGTATTTCTTTTAACCAAAATTCGAGAAATTATTCCTGCTCTGGCAGACTTTTTTCACTTGTCTGTGGAGAAGTAAAACCTTAAAAAGTGTCACCAACCTCGACACGTTAGGTGAGCGACGTATGGAACTCCGTCCCTTTCTCCATAGTACACTCCGAAATGAGAGAAGTATTTGTTCCTGGGATACTCCACAATGTCCCCCGGGAACAACTTTGGGTGGGAATTTTTCTTTATAAAAATAAAAAACAAACAGAAGAAGAAAAAAAGAGAGAAAGTGGTAAAAATCATAAAGTTACCACAAACAATCACCCTGTGGTTCTGCTTAACTCGACTCTGGATGAGGCCGAATCAAACTCACTTCAAAAATAGTCCTCGTCTCCACAGGCAAGGACTAAACTTCTATCATCTAAAATATAAACAGACACTGGCAAAAGCGCAATCTTCATCACTGGATCTGCACTGCTTTTTTGGCTTTGTCAGTATTCAGTCAGTTGTGCCGGAAAGGGGATTTTTTTTCTTTTAAACCACGAGAAAACCTGAAGCGAGTACAGGCGGCGAAACCACAAGCACTTGTGTGCTATATTACCGTCGAGCAAGTATACTTCTTCTGCCTTTGTTACTATTCATCTTAAATATCTTATACTTCTCAGGTATGAAAAACTGAGAGCAAATTTTATGATGTTAATGCTTAACCAAACCATCAGGTCTGCAGCTAGAGGTGTTAGTATGAATCTAACCATAGTGTGTAAATAAAAGCTGGATATAACCACTTTGAAACCGCTCATCAGAATGTGAAGCCTCAAGTTGAGCATTTTGGTTCTCACCATCTTAAAGTTAGAAGTTTCAGAATTAGAGCTGGCTGAGAAATGCTCATAGGATACTGACATGTCAACCACTAGATAGTCTTGCCTTTTTTACCCTAGTAAGGCCAAAATAAACATTAACCCTCAGGTGAGAGTCTTCTTCAGGAGAGAGATGAATATGTTCAAGAACCTGAAAGAAGTCAATCTGCCTTTGATTTAAGCATTTTAGATGTAGGTAACTTGCACTGTAGCCTGCGCTGGAACCTGTCGTCCACCTCACTACAAATGTAACTAAGAATCACCATCAACACAGGTCATACTGGTATACATGTTGGTAACGGCCATCCGAATTAGACTATGCTGTAAATTCTACGTAGATTTCACAGCAAAAACATTGATAAATATAACAAACCAAAAGACTGCCGGCATTTAAAAAGAATGTGGGTTTATGATTGTTAGTAGGAAAGAAAGTTAACTAGCCAACTCGTGGTCCAACATCTGGAGGCTAACACGGGAACAGTGGGGGAGATACTTGATGTTAAATTGCACTAAGAACAAAGTCCTTCTAAAGCAGGGATGAGGGTCATTAGTCTGTCTCCTTTATTCCAGGCATTTGGTCATATAATACACTCTGAAAATATAGCTCTCAATCAAAAATCAGACATTCATCAAACTCCTAATAGTTCATCCCACAGGGACCATGAATATAAAAGAGGAAGAAGGCAGAAAAAGAAAGGCTTCCGGCTGCTCCCTTAATAACATGGGCTCACCATGGCAGGTAGCTCCACAGATTCTTATGCCAGACGCCCTTCCTGACGGACCATCAAAGGGTTTTGTGTCTCCTCCTGGAATCTAAGCAAGGATCTCTCGCTTGTTAGTCTAATGTGTAGATGACTAAACTTTGAAACCTCTACAGGGACTATGAATATAATATGTTCCAAACTTCAAGGTAGACCATCCAGAACCTGGAATTAATTCATCTGTGATTCAACCATTTAAGCTAAAGATTTGTGCCAAATTATCATGTAGAAGTAGAGATATTTGGACATTAAACTCATATAGGTTTTTCGCCTGGGCGACATGATGAGTAGCTACTTAGAAATTTCACAATTGTCCTAGAAGTTCAACCAACGCTACAGAAAAACATGATTTGTGAATGTGCTCAAATGTTTATCTGAATCTGGTCTTGTTATTTCACTCTGGACTTAAGTGGTAAAGGGTCTGATTGACACTGAGCTTTTTTACTTTCAATTTATGGAAAAACTCAACTGTGGGGGCGTAGAAGGTGCAACATTTTCAGCAAGGTGGAATGGAAAAGATAAGAAGAGAAAACCATTCAAGAAAAAAAACAGTTCTAAGAAATAGCCGCAATACTATTCTTAACCATTAATGCATGATCTGCTGATCTAGTAATGAGCAGTTTTTGTACATTTTGAGTTGGAAAACAGTACCAAAGACAGGCTATGGAGACTTGGGTGGCTTCGGGAAGTCACATGTTTACATATAATAGTGGTATTGTAAAGCGCTTTGGGTGCCTTGAAAAGCGCTATATAAATCCAATCCATTATTATCATTATTATTATTATTAAATACTTCTGAAGTGAATTCAGAAGCTACTTAATGAGATTTTCTTTCATTCAAAGTGCCTAATAGTCCATTTAGTGCTCTTTCAGATGAATTAAAGTGCTTACACCAAGCTACAAAGTTATTATAATCAACCACGAGTAACAACTTTGGGTCCTCTGATTTCAGAAGTAGCACTGAAACACGGTGTCATCTAAAAATGTAAATATTCATGAGTGGCAATTAAAAGCAAGATTCTAGAAAAAGTAATGGTCATACTCACCTGGCCCATGAAGGGAGGATTAAGGTATTCACTGTGGCTGTCTTTGGTCCTTTCTGAACATAAATCCACAGCACATGCACACAGGAACCTCACATCATTTACATACAGGCTGTACTCATGTGATATGATGCATCTTCTCAGTCTGTCGCAGTCACAGTACACTGACCACGCTCCTGTCACCCCTTATCAGACCTTCTGCATCAAATAATTTGGGTTTCTTTTCCTCCCTTTATATTTTTGCTATATTTTATGTTGCCTGGGATCATTTTGGAGTGGATTTTGTGTCTGAATGCGTGATTCTGTGGTTTTTAAATGAGGTGCTTCATAGTGCACCGACATGAGTCCCTTTGTGTTTCCGATCCCACCACCTCTGGGCGTATGAAGCAGGTGTTTCCTAAACCGAGGCTAAAAGAGGAAGTAGCTTCAATTGGCTTTTTAATTTTTTTTTTCAGCAGAGATAAGTAAGCAAAGTGAGAAAGAGAGAAAGACCCAGAAGCACAGAGAGTCCCTCATAATGACTCATTTTAGACCTTTTAACTTGAACACAACACATCACATATGTTGTGTTTTTCTACAGTTCCAACAGCTGTTTTACATTAACGTCCTGACAAGTGCAATAAAGCACTTGAAACATCAGGTCAGCATCAGTCTGATGTAATGTGATGGCATTTTTAAATAGAGACCATCATAGCATGAAGCCATTGAATAATCGCGACCACACCCAGCCACTCCCCACATATACACCCAAAGAAAACCCACATCAAATGAAGAATTAATGCAACATTACATACTGAGAAAGAGAAACAGTAATAATTAAACCATAATAGTTATTTTATGAGCAAAATCTTTTTAATTTCTGTCTGATTTTCCAATGTAAAGCAAGTGTTAAATTCACAGAGTAATCAGGAGTCTGTCTGTTTCGATGTGAGTTTATTTCAGGATATTTATTTCAAGAAAAACATAACAAAGGTCTCCTGATAGCCAGCATAACAAAATAATTCACCTAAATTTTTATATTGTCCATGCAGAAAGAGAAAAAACATGGTGTGTGTAAGCATGTGGCACTGAAACAGCTGTTTTTTGTGAACAAAGACTTGTTTTAACTTAAAGTGATCAAAGTCATGAATTGTTGATGTTCACAACCACAGCAGAAGACCAGAAAGAGGATGGAAAAAAAAAAAGAAGAAAGTTTTCTAAGAATAAAATTACACAGCAGACACTTTACTAGGTTCAACATGGTGCTTTTAGATATGTAGACATGGTCAATATGATCTGCTGAAGTTTAAATTGAGCATCAGAATGGTGGAGAATGGTGATTTAAGTGACTTTTGGCATGGTTGTTGGTGGTCTGAGTATTTCAGAAACTGCTTATGTGCTGGGATTTTCCCACACAACCATCTCTAGAGTTTATAAAGAATTGTCAGAAAAAGAGGAAACACCCAGTGAGCAGCAGTCCTCTGAGAGAAAATAGAGAATGGGCAGACTGCATTAAGCTGGTAGGAAGGCAACAGTAACTCAAATAACCACTTATTATAACCAAGGTATGCAGAAGAGCATCTCAGATGATACAACAGAATAGATGGGCTACAGCAAGAGAAGACCACACCTCACCAAACTCACCAAAACTGGCCAGAAGATTAGAAAAACATTGCCTGGTCTGATGAGTATCGATTTCTGCTGCAACACTCAGATGGTACAGTTAAAAATGTTAAAAGCTGCTGTTGGTAGCATCATTTACAAACCACAGCCTACCTGAGTATCGTTGCTGACCATCTCCATCCCTTTATAAACACAGTGTACCACTTTCAGATGGCTTCTTCCGGCAGGATAACTCGATATCCCATATTTGAGTCAGCAGGTGGAAAACTTTGTTTCGAATTTATAATATTGTGACTTTATTCTTGTATACACACACACGTGTGTGTGTGTGTGTGTGTGTGTGTGTGTGTGTGTGTGTATATATACATACATACGTACATACATACATACACACACACACACACACACACACACACACACACACACACACACATATATATACACACACATACATATACACAGCTTTCTTTCTCTCCACACACATATACATACACACACACACACACACACACACACCTTTGACTTCTCCTGGATGTTCTTAAAGTGTCTAAAATCATTGTCACAAATAAGTGAGAAATAAATTAATGACGTTTTATTTTTTCGTTTTAATTAATGCTTTCTGATACAGCACGAGGTAGCCACTCGGCGTACATTTCCAAACGCTTCAACCAAACATATAACCCCTGTTTCTTTAACATCACAAGCTTCTGGAGCCTCCTGATCACCTTTTCTTCAGGTCCAATGTATTGGTGGGAGGAGGACGGGTGGAGGTGGATGGGACGGATACATATGTCTGAGTAACCAGGGAGATGTGTTGGGAGATGACAGCACAGATCTGAAAAACCAAATCTGAGCAATGATGCGAACCAAACACACGAAAAAAAATAAAAAGGTCAAGGATACATACACTCATCTCCTTACACTCCCCCTCCCAACTCCTTCATTAGGCCCACTTAAAGCTTGTGAGATGTTGCTCCGCCCTCTCTGAGAAGAGAAAAAAAAAAAAGATAATCTGTGGAGAAATCCCCCTGAAACCTTTCGGTTCATGGGTATAAGACCTGCGTCCTCTCACTGCATTCATCTGAGAACAGAGCAACATGTTGGTGTCACCGTCACTGATTAAAAACTCTGTATACATGTGTATAACACACACACACACACACAAATGCCCCTTTATAAAGTCAGTGCAGCATTACAGTCTGTTAAAGGCACCTGAGTTTAGCTCAAGCCCGAGCTCACCAGTGTACACACACACACACACACACACACACACACACACACACACACACACACACACACACACACACACACACACACACACACACACACACACACACACACACACACACACACACACACTTATTTCCCTTGCTCTGTTAAATAGATGTGATAACACACTGGCCCGGGTGTAAGACTGTGTATGCTTTCTTTGAAGGAGCTTCTGACAAATACATTCAAGATGTGTGAAAACGAGTTCCTGGACTCTCTCGACGTCTTTGATGCAGAGAGGAAATCTGTGGAACAGCCACCATTAATGGCTGCTACAGACAAGAGCTCATGTCGATTAAATAAAAAAAGAAAAAACACTAATGAGGGTGTTTTACTGGCTTTTACCTGAAGAGAAAAGGCTTCGCTGTCCTCACAAACACATGTCTGGGTCTTCCTACAGTCGCGCCAGTGTGGTGGGGAAAAAAAGCCAGCATGATGCTCACACTGCCCTGCAGGAGTTAAATATTGTTGTGTAGTTTGTGGGTTACAATCACTTTTAAAGTGTGGCTTTGCTCCAGTTTCACTGCCGGTGTTTGTCCTGATTAATGACGCAGCGATTAGTTGAGCAACAAAACAAAACAAATTTTTAAAAAAATAGCTGTTGCCATTTTTTTAAACCTCGAGAAATTGCAAACTTGCTACACACGAAGTGAGTTTTCACCTCAGTAAACAGCAGTCAGCAAATGGATGTGTGAGAATCAGCTGCCTTGGTCTGCAGGTGATGCAGCATTGGTGTGGTTTTAATTTGCAGCTGTAAATAACTAAAGAGCAAAACTGTGATGATGCTGATCCTGACTGTAAGCATGGAGGGAACATGTTTAGGGTGGGTGATCCCTGAGAAAGTTTGTCATGTTCATATTCATATTGGTGTCACAAAAAGACATAGATCACACTGATGTTTCTGTATCTCTTTGGAGTTCTCTATACAGTTGTTTTGCATCTTGTCATGCTCATTTTGTGCTTTTTAATAATGGTTTTGCATCTCTCTGTGGTTCTTTAAAGTATCTTTGTGTTTATCATCTCGATCACTTTAATTACTCCGAGGGCCTGCAGGGCACACAGAGTAATCCTGTGATCCACAGAAACACCAGGACTGCGCTCCATCAAGACGATTATTTACTTTCACCTTGTTTCATCCAGACACAGAATGCATATAAAAGATAGACATAACCTCTGGATCAGCCAAGCAAAGCCAAAGTGGAAGTGCCTTAAACTGCAATATTTCTAGTAGCTTGCAGCAGGCAACTTAACTGGTAAGTCAAACTGCTCAGCTTTAAGCATCACAAAAGTGACATCACCATGGCCACGCCTAACTTTTACATAAAGCATGTGTCTTTATAAGAGGCTAAATATTTTAAAATTTTGATTTTATAAACAATCAGAAGCTCACACTGGAGAAGGTGGGCTCTAAAACCCTGAACTTATCATAATAATGATACTGGGTTTTTTGTCGATCGACTAACCGCTGCAGTCATTTTTTGTCTCCCTCACACACACACACACACACACACACACACACACACACACACACACACACAGTATCTAAGAGTGCTCCTGTCCCTGACTCTGGCTCTCCTGAGTGTCTTGCCCCCAGCCGAGGCCGTTGATGGGCGCGTGTTTGTCCCAGCTGTCCGTGTTGTGCCCATGCTTCCTCTGGTGGCGTTTGTAGTTGTCCCAGTGGCCCGTGGTGTAGCCGCACTCGCCGCATGCGTACGGCTTCTCGCCCGTGTGCCGCAGCATGTGCCTCTTCAGGTTCATGCTCTGGTTGCAGGAGTAGCCGCAGATGGAACAGTGGAACGGCTTGGCGCCCGAGTGGATGCGCTCGTGACGTCGCAGGTTAGCCAAGTTCCCGCAGGCGTAGCTGCACGACGGGCACTGGTAAGGCTTCTCGCCTGTGTGCACACGCAGGTGCCGCTTGAGGTTGTCGAGATGTGAGGAGGTGTAGGGGCAGTGCGGGCAGCGGTGAGGCTTCTCCTCTGAGTGGACGTGGGAGTGGCGGGCCAGATGGTTGGGGTAGTGGGACAGGAAGGGGCAGTGAGGGCAGCGGTACAGCTTGTTGCTGCGCTGACCGCGCCGGGATCCCCGAGACACGTCCCTGCTGCAGGGAGCCCTTGAGTTGTCTTTGGAGCAACGGCGGCAAACCTGGAAAAATAACAGAGCACACAGTGAGAGGAAACATTTCCTGTGGACAGATCATACAATCAAACGGTCATTAACCAGAATCGCCGCTCCGTGGTGGTCATTAGAAAGCCTGCAGGTTTAAAACGTTCCCACAGTGGGATAGCCACCTTCAACATCAGTTTTTTCTTCCCACATTCACCAAGTGCTTGCTTATAGATGGTCATCTGATTGTTGAAGATTCTCTGGATTATTTTAGGCGCTTTACATTACAATATAAAGTCTCTTTAGCCAAGTGTTTTTGTATATTGATGCTATATAAATATAATTGAACTGACAAGAATAAGATAATGAGGCATCTTACACATTTGTTCATCTATTAATACTTATGAGCTTTTAACTCCAGAAAAGAGAGCAGCCCTGACGTGACAAAATTGCTCACAAATCCTAATTAGCAGCAGCAGCAGCAGAAAGTTTTACAAAGTTTTTAAATGACAGGGACTAAAAAGTGTTCGGGCATTGGGGGGGGGGAAAGTACTTGTTTGAAGGTGTGGCTGAATGAGGTTTGTAGTAAGGAAGCACTTTAATTATTCAATTTGTGTAGAACAGCACTGTATCAGTACCAGTCCATTAACAACTAAATCATTAAGATTTTTCCTGTCAGGAGGTTGGTTGATCCTGCTGGGACCATAGAGAACTTGTAGATAGAGCTGAAGACACAATACGGGGTGAAAATGGCATGTATTGGAAATCTGACAAAAAAAATTATGACAAAATTTATCAAAACCGATGAGAGAATACCGCCATCTGAATCTATGGCGGCCTGAACATGTGCACCACCTTAAGATTGCCACTGACTTTTTAGCTTGTGACAGCAGTATGAGGGAGGAAGTCACTCTGCTATCGTTAATGTAAACTGGGAAAATGTGGAAGTTTGTGGTGGGCGGAGCTTCTGTTTTTCTGTTTGTCGTGGAAACAAACTACAAATTGTACAACCCCTCATTTCATCCTAAAGTTTACAGAGGATCTTTCAAAGAAAACCAGCTTTGTTTTGGTAAACAAACCTGTCCTCCATCGCCCTCCACCTCTCCCTCTGCCCTGTCGCCCTCTAGGTCAGACTCCTCCAGGGTGAGGCCGCACACCCGGCAGCAGAGCGGGAAGAGGAGGACTGGAAGGGGGCCGGAGGGGGAGCCGAGTCCTCCCAACGTCTGGAGGTAAGCAGAGTCCTGGGACACTCGTAGGGTCAGGTCTGACATGACTGCAGACACATAGGGAAGCATTCAAAAGGCAAAGTTGTTTGGATCATTATTAGCTGCAGTGTAAACACGTTCTTCTAGATGTTCCCCATCATGCAGTTCAGTTTTAGGTCACTGAGCACTAAGCCAGAGAGAATTTCTCTTCCTCATTTTGCTGACTTGCTTCCTCTTTTCTGCTCTGCTCACTGCTTCCAAGATGAGAAATCTCCCCCTCAGAAAAAGTTTTTTTTTAAAATTCGGAGTTGTCAAATCTCCAAAATGCAAACCTTCCACATGTCATCAAACCTCTGCTCTGGGTTTGTGATATTCCCAGGTTTTAAGTGTGCTTTCAATCTAGAAATTTCTACATAAAGAACAGCTTAAAAAGCCTGGTTAGTTTTTAAATCACAAAACTACAGGAATACCACAGGATATATGTGAGCATTTTGCTAAATGGGAAATGCAGGCGTCATGTGTGTGTTTGTGGGGCTTGACCCAAACAAGCAACAAAAGTGAGCGTATCTCACGGCTCCGTCACAAAGACACTAAATTGTAGTAAGAGACTTTAAAAACAGAATTACAAAGAGACTCGACGTCAGAGTGGTTTCCTTTATCAAAAAGAGATGCATGTGACTATAACCAACAGACAAACACACGAACATTTAATCAACTGATAATGAAAAACTGAATACCCAACATGTGGTCACACTGAAGCTGAAATCTATCGCTGCTGTTATAATGATGATTTCACAACGACACAATAACACATGCTTCGCTCTTAGATCTGCAGTGTTTCCCCTGCCTTTCCCTCGGAGGGCAGTCCCCAACCCGAGAGAGAGAGAGAGAGAGAGAGAGTGAGAGAGAGAGAGAGAGAGAGAGAGAGAGAGAGAGAGAGCAAAACAAAATATACACATCTCATACACATTTATAAGTGTTATGTAGACATATTTGAAATTACATCTAAAGTTAAACACTAACTTTAAGTAGGGCTGCACGATTTTGCATAAAATGAGAATCACGATTTTTTTGCTTAGAATTGAGATCATGATTCTCTCACGATTTTCTTTTCCAGTATAAATATTTATTGCACTTATTAACTGCACATCAACTTCGTAACAGTTGAGACTGAACATAAAAACAATAAATAAACATAAAAACAATAAATAAACATAAAAACAACTAGGGCTGGGCCATATTATACCGTTCACGGTAATACCGGTATAATGTTAGGCAACGATAAGAAAATGAAATATCGCGATAGAATGGGAGTAAAACGCACATGCGCAGTGCCTTTGTTTTCATACGCACATGGCCGATTGTTGAGTGAAACAGATGAACCAGAATTGGTTTGTAAAAATGGTGCAACTTCAGTGATGTGGAACTGGTTTGGTGTTTGTCCGTCAGATACACAACAAAGCACATTTTTTTGCAGAACATGCAAGCAGCCGTTGTTATTGTCATATTTGTCGGACTAAGATGCTCTTAAATCTGGGAGTAATCTGGGTCCTAAACTCCGTAAACTTCAGGTCAAACAACACTGCAGCATCACTTAGAGTTAAAAACTGTCTAAATTCTTTCATCTTTAATAAAACGATCAGCATTGCTGCTTTACCAGGTGTCACTATAAAGTTTAACTTCCAGGCATCCATGAAAACAAAAGTTATTACATTTAACGGAGTTAGAAGTTAGCAGGAAGCTAGCGGAAGTTAGCTCGCTAGTTTCGCTAGTTACCTAAGCATGATATAGCATGTTCTGACTGAGAGATTTCTGAAAAAAATCAAACGTACAGCTCTGCTATTACTTCCAACATAAATGAAGACAGAAAACCAAACAGCAGTGACGTTTGTAGGGTTACTGAAGTTGGGCTAACTGATATATAATGATGTGCTACGTGATCGCTAGCGACACAGCTATGTTAGCATAACATAAACAGTGAAGCTGGAGGACGAACACTAACACTTTTCCACTTATAAAAGTTAACGTGAAGGTTCTTCATGGTTAGAGACAAATGCAATCGCATGGCAGGATGCTGTAAACGGACCAAACTTCAGTCAGGAGAACAACTGAGATAATCCATCCACAATACGAGGTTAGTCATTAATATACTGCAACAACATGGGAATAGAGCAGCTGCCAGAGAATTCAACATTAATGAATCAATGGTACAGAAGTGGAGGAAGCAAGAAGAACGAGTTTAATAAAGTTTGATTTATCTGACTGCTTTGTTTCGCTTAATGTGCCTTATAATCCCGTGCACCTTATGGTCCGAAAAATGCGTACTGCACACTGCAGTTTAATGTTGCAAAGCACCTCTTTTTAACTTCAGTGGATATTATACATGGTTATGCTCAGGATATGTCAGCCCATTTCTACTGGAAATGCCTTTTGGTTAAACTTTCAGCAAGGAATTTGCATTTGCACTGTTACATTTTTATAAAGCTTTAATGTACATAAAAACCAGCTTCTTGTTTAAGTGAAAATAAATGGAAGGTTGTCTTTTTGCGCTAGTAATGTTGTGGAGTTGTATTTTGTCTCGCATCAATTATATCGTCGGTTATATCGTTATCGCAAATTTTCAAATATATATCGTGATAAATATTTTTGGCCATATCGCCCTGCTCTAAAAACAACAAATGTCTCACGTTTTGTTGTTGCCGCAAAATGTTGTACTGCTTGAAATTCCGTCTCCACCGTTGCTCGACACTGCGTGTATAGAGCAGGTAGTGCAACAATAGAAAAATAGTTGCGGGACGGCACTGTGTAGCGTTTGTCTAGGGTGTTGATCATTTTCCTAAATCCCTCGTTTTGCACAGTGTTGATGGGAGCCATATCTTTGGTCAGGTGATAAGTAATAGCCTCCGTAATTTCCCTATACCCGTCTAACTCCTGCGGGAGTTCGACGTGTATAGGGAAGCGCTGTATAAGGTTCCCGTTATTGATGTTTGGGTGGTTGACCGGGACGGATTTTCTCCTGTCACTTTCTTGTCATCCCTGACGTGCTCTCCGTTGTTTTTTCCCTGCTAATTTTAGCAGCCAGCTTCTGTATCACGTGGTATAAGGCTCCGCCCTTGTCATTTGTTGAGCAGGAAGAGTGAGCGCTTGTTTTCATGCAGATTACGTCCCGGATCAAAATGCGGTACAATCATCGTCGTCTTTTTTTTTTTTTTTTTGTTTTTAAATCGTTGTCATTTGGAAATGAGATTTCACATAAGTATGAATCGAGATCGCGATTTTTTAACGATTAATCATGCAGCCCTAACTTTAAGGTTTACAATTTTATATGTTTTAATATATTCTAACAAGAATTCTTATCATTCATTAAAAATGGATATCATCACAGCTTTATCTCGTGGCTAAATCACCATGGTAACTGATGCTAAAAAAAACATAACACGGTTGGGTGCCAGGTAATATTTTCAAAGTTTTCAAATTGGCTGGAAGAGCCACTTTTGCACCAGTTCATTCATTTGCAGCATGTTTTAAGTTGTTAAGAAATAAAGCATATAAAGCATGTATGTGTTATGAACTTTGCTCGTGGTGTACACCTTTGCCACAGACCAGATAATTTTGCATTACATCATGGCAAGAAAGAGGGTGTGCTTCCTTTATCACATGACTCTGTGTTATTCACCTAACCTGTCATGGTCCACAGAGCACACTGGAGCACTGGTGACACCAACTTTACCCAAACTGAAAACAAGTCATTACTGTAAATGCATTACAAGAAAAATCCCGTAAACAGGTGTTAATCGGTCTAAAATCCCAGAGGAGAACTTTTCCAGGAAGCCTCCAAACCCACCAAAGAGGGAAACACTGAACAAAAAGACATCGCTGTGACTTCTCCTAAATGACTGCTTTTTCACATTAGTGGCACACCCTGCTACGTAGACGATCTGAAAATGTTATTTATACTGATGATGATGAACTGAGTTTTCAGTCCAAAGGTGACATATATAAAAGTTAGTTGTCAGATTAGCAATCAGAAAGAGTTTCCTTCAAAGTGATTAAAAAAGAGAGAGAAGCTGCAGGCAGCCTGTGAAATTATTGATTAACAAACTTGTTTTAACACAAATTTATCAGCTTTTTAACTCTGAGACCGTAATTGATGTAAAGGTTTGTGTTTACTCACCTTCTTCAGCATCACTGTTTGCCTTTTTCCGTCTTCCCCGTCTTTTCTCCTTCTCCCTCCTCTGCGGTCTCTCCTGCGTGTGCATGCGCTGGTGTCTGCGCAGGTTGCCGAGGGAGCTGCAGGCGTAGCTGCACTGGTGGCACCTGTACGGTTTCTCCCCGGTGTGTGTGCGGGCGTGGCGCTGCAGGTTGACGAGCTGGGCTGAGGCGTAGGGGCAGACGGGGCAGCGGTACGGCTTCTGGCCGTCATGGGTCCGCATGTGGCGTTTGAGATGGTTGGAGTAGCGCGAGGTAAAGGTGCACAGCGAACAGGAGTACAGTTTAGGGGCGGGGTCCGCAACACCGCTGGCTTTGTCTACGTTTCTCCTCTTATTTTTGGAGCTGCCGCCGAGGGATCTATCGGATAGGTTGGAACCGTCCAACTGAGAGGAGTCGATGGAGGTGCCATGCTGGAGGCCCTCCTCACAGGAGAGACAATAAAGCTCTGCCCCTAGGTCGAGTCCTACACCTGGAATAAAATATATCACATTTTCTAATGTTAAAATAATTAAAACAATATTAATATTAAACAATATTATATTGATTCAGTACAAACAAAGTAAAAACAAACCTCTGCAGCCATTTGTACTGATCTAACCTAGGCATTTGACACAGTGGATGATAAATCTTAAAGCAAAGACTTGTCAGAGCAGGGCGGTTCAAATTGGGTACATACATACGCTACAATCATTATGTTGGTCGTATTATAGTGAAACTTTAATTTTGATCATAATCTACTCATCTGCACATAATCCAATAACCAGGCTCTCTACAATAACCTTTTAATACAGTACAGCACAACCTGATGATAAACTTTTCATGTATTCCTACAGTTCTGAGTTTGAGTTAGCATATTAATACATTCATGCAGAATTACACTTGATTACTCTTTCTTGTTTACACCTACCAATCAGTAACCAGTGAGAAAACTGAAACTGGTCTTTTATTTTACATTGAGTTGTGTCTGCTCTCTGAGGCAAGAAATAGACTTGCTGTTTCCACGTTAATGTCAGTGGTGGACTATGTAGATGTGACTCATATGCATGTGTGTTCATGTGCTTACATATGCTGGATTCTATCCATCATAGAGTTGTGAGATTTACTGGACACTGAACTCAAATCAAAGAAGTGAAAATATTCCAATATCACTCTGTGCCCAGGTCTTTTTTATTTTTAACTCCACAGCCTGGCATGTTATAGTCAGTCAGTAGTTACCAAGATCTAAGCCTGCCCCCAAAGGTGTGTCTCCCAGAAGCTGACCACATCCCTTACAGGAGAGGAACGCTGGGAAGGTGGAGTCTGTCGGTGCTGACGAGTCGTCCTCCACACTTAGAGAGAAGACAGTCATACCTGAAGAAGAACACAGGGTTAAACAGACAGTCGCTTCAACCTTTGAGGAGAAAAATTCAACTCTCATGGGGTTTGAGGAAATAACCGCTGCATTTAAAAACTTAATTTATTACAGGAATGATTTATATATTTATGCTGGCAGCTGAGGCACGCTGAACTCACTTCCCCTGAGTGAGGTGTTGCAACTCAGAAGGAAATCAGCAGCATCAGCGCTGGAGCAGAAATAGAAGTCAAAACAAGAAACAACATGACAACTTAAGTTAGTCAGTTGGAGAATCTACTTCTCCGAGCTCCTAACATAGCGATGAAATGTCTTTGCCCTCTATACATCAGCCTGTACCATAAGTGACATCACAAAAGCTGCATCAGCTTTCGACTTCTACTACTCCTACACCAGCACTGATGCTGAGATTATTTCTGAGTGGTGACACCGGTGGTTCAGGCAAAGAGGGAGTCCTTTACAACTCAGTTGCTAGTATGGACCTGTGAGGACTTCACAGTTGGTGCACGAACGCCACCTGCATGCTCAGTCGTTCATTGCTCTTTCACTCCAGCATCATCTATGGAAGCCCAGACAAGTTAAAAAGTGAAAATACAGCATACTTTTCATTTTAGCTCAACATTTGTGACTCTTTAACTTGGCTTCAAATGTGAATTTTAAAATCTATAAGCTATTTTCAGCTTCTCCTTTACCACAAGGGGTCACCACAGTGGTTAGCGCCACACATTTCATTTGGCAGATTTTTGCACTCAACACATTTCACTTACCCAGTGATAAACTAATAATGCAGACTAATTACCCAATAATACATTCAGCTTACATTCTGTTTAACTTTCTGAATTTTTAATTAGCAAACATTTGACTTTTAACTTGCGCTACAGAAATGGGTTTGCATATTATTTCACTTTCAACAAACTCAGAGACAAACTTATGGTACAAAGTACCATAAACTCAAAATCTTAAATACGGAAAGCACATCAGTTTGAACTTGTAAGTCTTTTCGAGCCCGATCATCAAAGGGACCATACCTCGCCTGATTACCAGGAATTGGGAGAACAATGTTTAAATATTGTGTGAGCACAGGGTCAATGCTTCAGTCAAAACAGAGAGAAAAGCCTAATAAAAACATGTGGAATGTTTAAATATGTGGCTTGCTTTCCAACCCCGTGTATGTAAAAACCTGTGTGTGTGTGTTACTGACCAGACTCTCTATCCAGTCCCATGATCTCCGAGTCTCCAAACTCCAGCTCGCCGCTCAGCAGGAAGTCGCTGTCCAAAACGAGACAGCCCGGCTCACACACCACTGCCCCATCCTCAAAGTCCACTGAGTGCAAACAGACACACAAACATTTCTCATAATTTCCTGTATAAACACACCTGACCAAATGAAGACAAACGCCAAGCCCATCCTGAAACACAAAGTCAGCTTCTACCTGAGGGTGTTAAAAAGTCTGGGTTTCACTCAAAGGTTTCCCTTAGTGATACGAGCTGTAAAACTGTGAACATCTGACACAAACATCAACATCTCTTCTCTTTATGTAACAAATTTTCATTTCCTTTAAAAAAACAAAACAAACAACAACCCCCCCCCCAAAAAACAAAAACAAAAAAAAACCCAGACACATTTATAGATTGCAGGGCTGTTGGTTGTTTTTTTAACAGTAATAAAAAAGAAGATGTTTAAAGACAAAAATCAGGCTCATGTTTCACATACACATGTTTTTTTTGTTTTAAAATTTGGCTGCAGAGAACACATTTGATAAACGGGACAGAAGACAGCTGATAACAGAGTTTGTGCTCGAAAACACACAAAAAGAAGAAGAAGAAGAAGAAGAAGGATAACAGCAAAGGAGGTGGAGAGGAAACGAGAAGGAAATCGGTGAGCATGAGATAAGTGCTGAGGAGGAAGAGCTGTGGGGTGAGGAACGAGGCTGAGAGGGTCAGGAAGAGGAAGACAAGTCGAACACAGAACTGATGATACAGGACATTTTTATACTCTTAAACCTCTGAGCGGACATTTGTTGACCCAGCTTAGAGCAATTCTAACTTTTAATGTCACAAAGAAAATAAAAACTTACTGATAATTAAAAATATTTACACTAAATATTAAGGAAACTTAAAATTATTCTCTTTATTCCCATTTTCCTGAGCTTTAATTTGAAACCTACAAAACCTACTTTTTCAAACAGTTTGCATAACTATTAACAGTAGTTAGAGTAGAAAATTATTCTGCTGCGGTTTTTCTGACCTATTTGTCTTTTAGAGGTCAATGACAAACACTGGCTAATGTAATCTTTAATAATTAACTTTTTAATCATAACTAAAAAGTAATTAGAATTTAAGGTTCTGAGACATTTACTAAGACAAATTAAACTAATTCAGGAAAAATATGGGGTGCTTTTGCAGATTTATTTAGATTAATTTAGAGAATTAAGATGTTTTTCCTTCTCAAAATGGGCCTCTGGAGACCAATACACACATCCAATTAAGGCAAAAGTCTGAGTTTTCCTGTCATTTCAGGCTATTTTAAATGTGACGATTAGGCCTAAGTAAACTAAGCCCTGCTTAAAAAAAAGAATAAGTGAAAAACATTTACATGAGACACTTGTTGATTTCTGTTTGGTTGAAACCTTTTTAGTAGGAACCAAAAATATAACAACAGAAGCAATCGTTAGCTGCAGACCAGCAGCCAGAGGACAGAAAGTAACAAACACCACAACTCATTAAAAATTTTCAAACTAATTCAAGCTGCACTGTGCTTGCTCCCTGCATCGACTAAAGAAAACAAAGATGCTGTATGACAAGTTTAAGGCTGCGCAGGTGAGTAGGAATTAAGAAGGTAAAAGGGTTTCAAAAGGGTTATAAGGACATTTCCAAGTTATACATTCTACAGAGACAGAGATTATCCACAAATGGAAGACATTCAAGACAGCTGCCAGTCTTCCCAGGAGTGGAAATCGCAGCAAATTCACCCCAGTGTCAGACTGTGCAAGGCCCAGAGAAAATACAAAAAACCCTAAGAGCTTCATTTCAGATTCTACAGGCCTCGGTTACCTTAGTTAAATGTCTATGACAGCACAATTAGAAAAAGACTAATTAACTGTGGCTTGTTTGCAAGAACTGGCAGGCACTGAAAGCCTCTTCTCTCATGACATGACAGCACAACTTAGATTTCCAAAGCTGCAAATCACAAGACTTCTGGAAGTCCTTTGCACAGCAAGATCAAAATCAAACTCAGCATATCAGCACAAAAATCTCATAACAGCTGTCAGCGTGGTGGTGGAAGGGTCATGATTTGGACTTATTATACAGACAGGACCTGGACATCTTGCAGTCATTGACTCAACCATGAACTCTTCTGTATACCAAAGTATTCTACAGTCAAACATGAGGCTGTCTGTGTGACAGCTAAAGATTATTTTACGTTATTGGTACAAACAGGGACATTCAACTGAACAATGATCCCAAGCCCTGCAACAAATCTTAAATGAATACCTGTATACCTCAATGAACTGGAGCAACGCTGTAAAGAAGAGTGTTACAGACGGATAAAATCATACAGAAAATGATTATTTGAAGTTGTAGTTGATAAAGTTGGTTCTGCAAGCTACTGCTAAGAGTCCTGTTTAAAGTCTTTTAGTTTTTCAACAAGTCTGCAGGCAGGTAATGTGAGTTAAGACCCAGCGTCTTACAAATCCCAGATATTTTAGGTTTTCCTTTATTAAAATGTTGGTTTCGGTTATAACAGCAAAAAATGTCATTCCTCCACTGTAGAACCAAAGCTGTTCGGTCAATCTTTGTTCAAATGAACTGCTAACGTGTTCAAACGTAGACCGACCTGAACTAAAACACATCAATCCTCCTTTTATCGTTCAGTTTTACAGAAGCTTTGGTTCAACTGTGCGATCATTCTTTCAGATAACACTGCTGTGATTGTGTCAGACGTCCAGAAGCTACTTGAGCTGCAGTTAGACTTTGAATACGAGTAATTTGAATACAAGGATGTACTGGCCTTTTTTCCCCTCTGAGCCCCTGCTCACATGCTCAAAAGTACACTCCCATCTAGTGCCTGTTTAAATATGTACATCATTAGAAATCTGAGAAGGTCAACAGGTGACTTCAGGTCTCCTAAATCCAGTATTCTCTTTTTGTAAGCTGACTGATGCCCACGCAGTCAAGAAAATGTAAACGAAGGGAGGTGAGCGTTCTACAGGTGACGTGTGGGAGGAGAGTAAAACAAAAGAAACTGGAGACACAACTAGAACCTAAAAACGTCTTCTGGCCCCTGTTAACAATAAAGGTGAGGGTACACAGGAAACCAAGGGGAATGACAGAAATCATACAGGAAGCTGTGAAAGAAAGAGAGGAAGAACGAAGGGAGGGAGCAGGGGGAGGTTAGGTAGGGAGCCTGCGAAGAGGAAGTGGAGATAGGAAGCAGAGAGGAGGTGGAGAATCCAAGTGAGCCAGAACAGTCAGGATGAGATAACAGATAAACACATCTGCTTAAAGGACAACATGTCTTCAGCAGTCTTCCTCTCAGGGAGATAAAGAGGAAAGGACTTGATGACCAGTCAGGCAACTTTTAACATTACTGTATCCCTCAGAAATATGTCTAATTTTATAAAAATGCATTTAAAGTGGACCAATACCTAGCAAAGACTCATTGCCTTATTCTATGGCAGTGATTTAAGATTCATGCGGAGAGAAAGGCAGCAAAGAGCTGGAAGTAAGCAGCTGGACTTACGTTTCACCGGCTGCGGGTTGGATTGTTTTCTCCGCGGCATCTTCGCCTCTCTTCAGCACGGATCCTGTGCTGTTTTCGCGGTGACACCTCCGACACTCTGCGGGCTCAAGTCCGTCTGTCCAGCAAGAGAGGCAGCCAGCTAGCTAACTGCATGTCATCATCATCATCACCTCCTTCCTCTTCCTCTTCCTCCAACGGACAGCAGTAGCGGCGGAGTCATCGCCACCATCTAACGCCTGAAGCGGAAGGCGTACACCGGCAACAGCACCAATTAAAAAGACCCACACCTTCCCTAAATTATTACATTACACTTTGCAGCTATATTCAGTTCACAATAAACTTTAAAAACACACCAATCCATTTAAATTCATCACCATGGCTAATTCTTTGTTATTGTTTCGCAGTAAGTAGCCGGAGCCATCTTGCTAGCCAGCGAGCCAACCGGCTAAAATCAACACTGTAATCTAACTCTCGCTTTTAGCTCACACTAAAAATAAAACTTAATGAAGTCGAAGACACTCCACCGAATAACTTACCTGTGATAATGTCCCTTAAAATACCGCGGGTGAAAATGCAGTTAAAACTATTCTCAAAACACTCTTTTTGTTGTTGCCAAACACACACAGCGCCACTACGCCGGGTCCGGGCTCTATGTGACGTCACCGAAAGACGCAGGGGATTGTGGGAATAGTAGTCCTTACTGTGTTTACCAACCTCAAATGACCTCTACATATTATCAATGGAAGTTTGTCTCTGCCACCATAAAAAAGTAAAATCTCTGTATTTCAACATACAAACCCTGAATTTAACTTAGGTGTGGTGGAAAAAATAATTCTTTACATATGTATATATCTATAGCTAAATAATAACAATAATGTTTTCTTTTGTTTGTTAGTGTTTTTTGTTTTTGTTTTTCAATGTGAGAAACAAGCTCCCTCAAATTTTAGGTAATCTTGCAATTTTTTCCTCACAAAAACAAAATATTGGACAACTCATGTATGTTTATATAATAACAAGAGCAATAATAACAACAATAATAATTATTATTATTATGCAAAGAATGCTGTATTGTATATAAATCTGTCTTCCTATAATGTTTAGAAGACAATAAAATCATTTGATTTCCTAGAGATGACTAACAAGTGTTTAATATTGTGGATTTGTAAAAAGAAATAAAGTTTAAAAAATGTGAAGTTGTGAAAAGGAACACAAAAGGCACAGAAATACCACAAAGATTCAGCAATAGGTTCACTTTATTGTCAAAATATTCAACAAAAACCTCAAAAACAGATAATCCTCTGTTGTTTGTACCACTGCAGACATATATGTTGTTTTATGTAAAGGTAGTTGATGCCAACACAAATTACAAAATGCAAGAACATATATTTTGCATGATGCTTTTTCTTGAATACATTAAATTAACGAATAGATATCATACAATTGTGATAAACATACCATGAAATTTACATTAAAACAGTTTGTCAATAAGAGAGGTTTTTTTTAAAGACCCTATGCATATACAGTTCTAAGTGTCAGGTAGGTTTAACTAACGTAAAAAAAAAATCATATCCTTTTATTCTCTCAGCTATTATTTTTCTGTATGTACAAGCTCTGAATGCTTTGACATTTCAACAGTAAAAATGTTTGTGTTGTTAAACTAGAAAAAATAATGAGGTGAATAAGATGTATTTTATAGGTTGCTGTTCTCTAGTCAGTCACTCAGGCAACATTTCTCAGGAGAGATCATGGCCTGAGTAAACATCATTGAGGGGTTACATGTCAGTCAAAGACTGGCTAAGAAAGAAATCATCTATATAGCTGTGTTGCACACATTTATCTTTATATCTTCAGCCTTTCTTTTTTAATACTCAAAATTCTGCCACCTATTCAGGATAACACTACACAATTGAAAAAGAAAAAGAGAAAAACATATTCCTTTAACTTGATAATTGTTCCTTGAGAAGAATCTAGAATCCTCTACAATGTTAAAATATTAAATGAATGAAACTTCAGGAGTTTGCATGACACACTGTATTTCTAAAAAACAAAACAAAACTGGGTGAATTCAATTCAGTGGGAAATTTCATTTGTTTTAAGTATGGGACCAACAAAGGATCAAAAGCAGTCTTTCATTTTTGGGATCCTTAACTGTCAAGTGGAGCAATGGCAGCAATTAGACAGAACTTCCCTTAAGGTTTTATTTGCTCAGATGCTAACTAAAGATCTGAGTTTTATTGAGCTGGTTTCTGGGATAGGGTTAACGAAGTCAGGTTAGGGAATTGGGGAGGGGATGGACTGCCTATGAAGATGGAAAAAACAAAACAAAAACTGCCACCTCAGCATCCCAAACAAGCCACAGGTACAAATACAGTCATATAAAATCATGTACATATTTTAGAAAAGCTCTGCTCTGGGTCTTCTGGTTTTCTCAAAACATTACCAGTAGGGGTCATAATTTGCAAGAGCTGAATCAGAAAAAAACGACTTGGTTAATTTCAGCAAATCCTCTACATATATTATATATCAGTATGTTACTATATATTATGTTTAACGCTCATTCACGAGTTAAACATGGACTCAAACTCATCAATCCTCTGCCTGGTGTTTCCTCTGGGGATCTTTCTGTAGGACACTGTTTTGTACTTCGATGATTGTTGGCCATCTTTCTTCTTGTCATCTGCAGCATCAGCCTCACCATTCATCACAGGAGACCTTACGGTTTTCATTGGATGTTTTACTGTGCCAGAGGAGATTTTGCTCTCTTGTTCATCTTCCATCGAGGACTGAGCAGGAGCTTCCATCAGTGTCACTTTGTCCTCTGGTCTGCAAAGCGATGTCTGTAGGTCTGAAAATGCACATGTTTTTGAATAATTTAAATACTTCTAGGAAATGACTTAAAATTACTTTCTTTTGCTCCATGGAGGTTTTTGTCCACTAATATTTATCTTAGTTGAGTCAGTGTCATCTTTGTGGAATTTTAATGAATGAACTTTCTGGCTCAAATCTTCACTTTCAGTAACTGTGTTCCAGCCAATCATAGCTGCAGTTATATAATATCCAATGTAGATCTGAACATTTGAAAACAGTATCTTCACTTTGGAACGTTTACAGAACAAATATATCAATGTTTTTACACAGCAATCTGAATTTTGGGTCTATAAAACCGTTTTATTAACGACGTATGACAACACAAAAATAAACCTCACCCATATCTTCTTGTTTCTTATTTTAAATGAAAATTTACCATATCTCACAGAAACAGTATGTATAAGCACTGCTGTATTAGCCTATTTGCAGACCTTGTCTTTGTTAGGAAGTCTTAATGCTGATCTAAAGACTATAACAATAAATTTTTCCTTCTACTCCGCCATATTTTGCAAGCACGTACTTAACTTTTTAGCCAATAAAAGCCAAAATATTCTTAAGAATGAGTTTATTGTTATTCTGTAGATTTCTTAGAAAAAGGTACCCAGCAACATACTGTAATTAGAAGGAATAAAATAAATAATAATATGACCAAAAATACTATGTCTATGTATAATAATACCATGTAAATGATTTTACTCAATAATGGTCTTTTCTACAGTCATTTTGAGCATATTTCGATGCTAAAATGTTTGTAGTTTTACATAAATAAAAAGTTCACTTCTTTCACTTCAGCTATTCTTCAGTCAAATTTTAACATGTTTCCTCGTAAATTTGATATACCGTGGATCTGCCTTTTTCTTGCTGTGTGGTACCCCATTTAAAAAAAACCCAAAACAGAAGTGCATCTAAAGCCAAGCTTATTCTACCTGATAAGTGTCTGATTTAATGTGTGCAGTTCCTACCTGTGACCACAGGTGTCACCAAACCAGCCAGGACTGAAATCTATAGGGAATTCTGTGGTTACCTGTGTGCAATACAGGTGGAGTATTTCCGGAGTTGTCTGCTTCTTCTACTCCAGCTCTTTCACCTGGATGCCGCTCTTGCTCCTGTAAACTACGCTGCGACGTCTCTGTTTGTTCACTTAGATTCAGATGAGCGTCAGCACAGGGAACGTTTGTGTCTGTCACACTGTGTGCAGCAGCAGTTTGGTGTGAAGCGTCTGTGCTGCTCAGAAAAGCCTCCTTGTCACTGCTCGGCGATGTGGGATAAATGTCCCTGCTGTGGGTTTTGGCAGCGACAGCCCCTTTCTCTCCGTCTGTGAGGACTCTGGGAGCTTTGTTTTCTGTGCCGTGATGCAGAGTTTCAGCAGATTGTGGGTCCTGCAGAGGTGACAGAGGGACAGTTTTGGGGGATCAGACTGATCAGGCCTCTTTCCTGGCTCCTCAACCCATTCTTCTGTTTCTTCTTCTTTTACATAAACTTGTTCTTCCTTTTCTTTGTTTACCTCCTTTTCATTTTCAGCGTGATGCTCTCTCAGCTTCTCCACTTTGACTCCTTCTGCATTTCCTCCTGTTATCTGTCTGTCTTGCTCTATTCTCTTTTCATCTACATCTTCTTCTTCCATTCCTCTTCCTGCTCTTTCATCTCCACTTTCCTCTGTTACAGCTTGTTTCATCTCACCCTGACTTTCATCCTCACATACTTTTCCTACTTCTTTCTCATCTCCCTCCTTCTGATACTTAAACCACTCTTCTTACTCATCATTATTTATCTCCACCCCTCTTTTGTTGCTTCCATCCTTCTTCCTCCCTTTATTTCCCTCTTTTTCTCCATCACACTGTTTGACTTCATGGTTTTCTTTCTTTCTGTCTTCTTCTATTTCTCCTTCCTCATTTTCATCGTGTATTTCTTTCTCTACCTCTGCTGTAGAATGTTTCATTTCATCCTCTCACACTTAAACCTCCTTTCTTCTCTCTCGTTCTCTCCCTGTGTCTTTAATTCCTCTTCTCTCTCAGTCATTTCTTCCTCCATCTCTGCTTCTCCTTCCGCTGCTCTTCCCTCCATCTCCTCTTGGTCCATTTCTATATTGTCCTCCCTCTTATCTTCTTTCTCCATGTGGCCTCCCTTCTCCTCTTCCTCACCTTCACACCCAGCCTCTCCTTCCATCTCTTTTTCTGTTTTCCTTTCTTTCTCTACACATCCTTCATCCTTTTGGATTTTGTTAATGCTTTCTAGCAGCACGTGTCGTTTCTCAATTCACAGTCTGGTGACCTGGCGGCCACATTTTCAGCCTCATGCTTCATGTGTGTGAGTGGACGTGGGTTTGTAATACTTTAATCGCTCAGGTATGAGCTTGCGCTCCAGTTCACTGAGTCCTCCACAAGGTTTCACTTCTCTTTAACTGTGGCACAGACTCCTACCAAAGAATCCAGACTGAAGTAAAGAAACTAAAGAGTAAAGTCCTGAATGCAAATTTCTATTCAAGCATAAAGTTTGATCAGTAAAATACTGCTCTGTGTGTTCTCTTTGCCACAATGAATCTTTGATGCTTATTTCTAATTTCATATTTTCTTTCTTGAATTCTACTAAAGTAGCCTTGCATGACTCATAGGTCTAAATGATACTTATTTAGTTTTACTTCACCTATTTAACTACTCACTAAAACCAATGTCAAATCAGCCAATCACAAGGCTGCCACTCACGTATACATGGTCACAATGACCGGCTGAAGTTTAGACAGAGCATCAGAACAGAGAAGAGCGTTGATTTAAGTGGCTTGGCATGGTTGTTAGTCTAAAT